CTAGTTCAAAATTAGAGCAGGTGAAACTGTTTCTTTATAAGTAACTTTGGCCAATTATTCAACTTTTCTTTTCCCCCTTGATTTTTTTTTTTTACTCCAGATTTATCAGACACAGAAGATTGTAGCAAACAGTAAAATAATCTGTAACAAGCCATGGATACGTAAGATTAGCAATTTAACCACCCTTTAGCGGTTGGTCTGAGTTTGAATGATGCAATATCACCCTATTATCTGGAAGTGCTCAGAATCAAATCCGAGAATTTTGCATACAAGATACATGCTCCTTTTGCTAAATAACAGCTCCGCCTTGAGTCTCTGGTTGAGTGCTCAGTCATGATCCTCAATCCTACATGCAGCCTTTGCAATCTCATTTATGACTTGTTCTTCACCTCCATCCCTCTCAGCCATCACCCATCTTTAAGAAAGAAAACAGCAAAGATACTCAGAGAGGACCCCCAAACTTTCACTCAACTGTTGGTGGGATTTACACAGTCTGTTCTCCCTTGGCCACAAGACCAACTTACCTCGCAGAGACAGTCCGAGCAGCAGAGTGAGCAAACCGTGTGGAAACACTAAGCCAGCCATGGTGAAGTGGTGAAAAACAGGTGCAAAGAGATCACTTTCCAGAGCTCATGGCCAGAAGAGCCCAACACCAGGTCACTAATTTGACAGCCCCCTCTTCTCCCCAAAGCTACCGAGACTTCACTCCAATACCAGAAATGGGAAGAAGTGAGACTGAATTTCGACATCAAATAATCTTCTGCACAGCAAGATCTGAAGGGGAGGGAGGAGTGAAAAGAGGAGGAGAGAAAGCTTCTCAAGAATATGATTCTTTTTCCCCCTCTTGGAGCAACATATAATATGGCCAATTTAAGTTTTAAATATCGGGGTTCCTGAGCAACCCTCAGAAAGCTGGTGCAACGCTGTATCTTTAGCATCCGATCAACTGGAATGGGATTATGTGGATTTAATAAAAGCTGCCTGAGCGACACCAGGGACTTCATTTAAAAAAACATCTTTAAAATCATGTAATGCAAGAATCAGCAGGATGTTCGGGTTGTGAGTCGCACTTTTTCTGTTTTGCACTTTCTGGGGGACCCTGGAAAGTTCGTCAGGGCAGACAATTAAAAAAAAATCTTATTTTTTTCCTGTGTTTGCTTTAGGAGGAGATTTTAAAGGATGCCGTTTTTATTTATTTATGTTCTTTTTTATCACACCTTTTTTTAACTTTATAAGTAACTCAAAGCAGCAAACATACATACTGCTCCTTCCTCCGTCTATTTTCTCCACAAAACTCAGCAAGGTGGGCTGTGCGGAGAGACATTGATTACCCCAAAGTTATCCTGCCTAAGATAGGATTAGAACGCACCGTTTCCTGGATTCTAGCCTGGAGCCTGAACTACTAAACCAAACTGGTTCTCATCCACTTTGCTTCTTTTTGTTGGCTCCAAATTACTCAAAATTTAATTTTGAGGCTGGCATATGACTGAGGAGTATTTGAGAACCCCAATCAAGACTTGGGGGGGTTAGGGTTTAATCTCTTTTCCCTTAATGATTTAAGTATTTTCCCCTCTAAGGCAGAATTGGATAATCCATGTGGCCCTGGGAGATCCATTTTTGGATTGTACAACCCCACAAGGCCACAGTGCCCTCTTCAGAGATGAGTTCTGGCAGAGCTTGCCAATAGGTGTTTGCGCACACGAGAGCATGTGTGAAGGTGTTAAATTTCTACTTTTGAACCAAAATTCAAGGATTGGCACTGTTGGCAGCCAGCCAACAAGACAGCGAGCTCGCTGTAGTCCAGAAATATGCAAACTCAGACAAGACTTTTTGAAGCTAAAGGCTAAAGACACTAATGGCCACAGAGTTAAGGTTTGGCCTGGGTCAAGACCAGGAATCCAATACAGGTAGTCCTCAACTTATGACCACAATTGAGCTCCAAAATTCTGTTGCTAAGAGAGACAGTTGTTAAGTGAATTTTATGACCTTTCTTGCCACAGTTGTTAAGTGAATCACTTCAGTTGTTAAGTTAGTAACACGTGGTTGTTAAATGGATCTGGCTTCCCCATTGAATTTGCTTGTCAGAAGGTCGCAGAAGGTGATCACATGACCCCAGGAAATTGCAACCGTCATAAATAGGAATCAGTTGACAAGTGTCTGAATTTTGATCACATCCCCATGGGCAGGGGTAGGCAACCTTGGCTCTTTTATGACTCGTGGACTTCAACTGCCAGAATTCCTGAGCCAGCATGACTCAGCATGGCTGGCTCAGGAATTCTGGGAGTTGAAGTCCACGAGCCATAAAAGAGCCAAGGTTGCCTACCCCTGCCCATGGGGATGCCGCCACAATCGTTAAGTGTGAAAAATGGTCATAAGTCCCCTTTTCAGGGTTGTCGTAACTTTGAAAAAGTCACTAAGCTGTTGTTAAGTCAAGGCCTGCCTGTAAACTAAGGACAAATGCAAGAGACAGACCCCAGATATGGTGAGTTCAAATCCACATTTCGAAGCACGACCTAGAAAGGAAAACACGACGGAGCTGAGACCTGAAAAGGTGGTGGGCACTAAATAAGCCAAGCTGAGCCCCCC